TATATATATATATATATATATATATATATATATATATAAACAAAAACTGTAAAGACAAGCACAAGCCAATATTTGCCTATAGATTCTCTTGTCTGCTCTCTATACACCATAAACAGAAGCAGCAAAATGAAAGAAAATAACACTGTACATTCAAAACACTCCTACTGCATAGACCTACAGGAAGTTTTTCTCCAGTGTCATCATTGTACTGTGCTAAAGGAAGCAGCAAAATGATAGGGGAACAAGAGATTGGAAGCAATAAAAAACCCAAGTGCCTCACCTTAAGTAAATAACATCCTGTATAATGTTTCTTTAATAAAGACAATTGCACTTGACCTCACTGAGTAAAGAAAGCCAAGATTCCCAGGAAACCACAAATAACCTCACACTGAACACGTGAAAACAAAGAAGTAAAACATTAAGAAGTTGATCTCTGAATGCCACATGTATATCAATTACCTTCTCTCTATATATAAGCTTTAAAAGTCTGTCTCTTCGTGAATAAAGAAACCAAAACATTAACAGTTTATCTTGTCTGTTTTCTTTTATTGTCGGTTTTACTTGAATTAAGCCATGACCATATAGATGACTTTTAAAGCATTTAACTCATTTTCCCCCTTCCAGGCTGTGCTACAGACACTATGACATAACTCACTGAGGGGAAATGGGATCTGGTCCACCAGGTTACATTTGCTAGTAAGTAATCCCTCCAAGTGTTTTATTTCAGCAAAGATCAATCTGAACAAAGATTGAAAGTGAAAATGTGACTTGAAAAGTGAAGGAAGGAAAGGCAGCCATAAATGATCTGTCAAGTTAGAGACATGATAGATAAAACCTTACACATAAATACAGCATAAAGAGATCCTAATTATTCTAATGTGATTTAAACACACGAGTCTATAAAGAAAACACACCAGTGTGGTACCCATTTTAGAATTATTCAGACTTCGGTATTGTTATTTAATTTTATGCCTCTATCCAATACTTTTGAAAAGTTATTAATATGCTATTAGCTGAAGGGTACTATTTATTAGTTATTTTAATTAACAAGTACATTTTAACTTCAGAAAATAAACACTAAATTATGAGTCCAATTCAGGAAATACTGTTTTGAACAGTTAGCATGTACTTTATTGCTGTTATTTTAGCCTTAATGATAGTAATGTGCATGAATATAATGGAAATAATGGAATTAGAAGTCAGGGGAAAATCCAGACTTGGTCTTTTGTTTTGATATGATAATGCATTCTTCAATGCCTTGGTAGAATGATTATATTCAGAAAATCAGTTGTAAAATCTCATTCATGCTTTGTAATTATAACTAGGGTATGTAATCAAAACTTAAAGACACATCTCCATATGTTATTAAACAATGATTTAGTTTTGATTGAAATATCTACTGAGGACAGCTAATCTCTTAGTATAATCATGATTGGCTGCCAGACAGCCATGTTCTAGAAATAGGTGCTTCTACTCAAGAAAATTTCTCTTCAGGAAATTAACTACTATAATTTTAAATTAAATGTTTTAAATGTCTTCCTATTAGGGATTCTGTTCAGCCATGGAGAGCTAAAGCTCACTGATACCTTTCAAAAGCATCTCTTTAAAGTATATCACTGTACATTCAATCAGGAGGCACAGGATGTATACTTTTTAAGGACATCCTCTCTTCTGATTTATAAATGTTTGCTCCCAGGTGGTTACTCACCAGCAAATGTAACCGACTCTAAATAACCCTTTCAAATTTTGTAGTCTGCTGAGAGTATACTAGCCATTGAATTTTAACAAAATTTCATTGGTTTCCAAACATTTTCCCAGTGGTAGGCAACAAACTTCATTTTTATTTTGGCTGCTTTCCAGTAGACTAGAATGCAAGCACTTCAATTTAAAGACATTCTTAGCTAAAGACACAGGTGGCCGATGAATGTTCATAAAAAAAAAAAAAACAACACATTTTGACCATATAGCAGGAAGTCGACAGCAACTTACCAGAATTTCTTTTTGATACCATCTTCAAATTTGTACTGACTGCAGAACAGATCACCAGGGCCAGAAGAAGTAGCAGCTTCATTGTTCACGTTCTTTGGCAGCTGAGACACAAAACAAAAGAAAATAAAGCTTGAACCACAGTTGTGGGACAATGGTTTCTACCCTGTCAACTGTATTTTAATAAAATGCTGATTGGCCAGTAGCCAGGCAGGAAGTATAGACAGGACAACCAGACAGGAAGTAGAGGCAGTGCAATGAGAACAGGAGAATTCTGTGAAGAAGAAAGCTTATTCTGCCGTCATGACCCAGCCACAGAAGAAGTAAGATGTGACTGCCTTGCTGAATAAGGTACTGAGTCACATGGCTGACATAGAGAAGAATAATGGGCTAATGTAAGAGTTAGTTTATAACTAATGTAGACCTCTGTGCATTTCATTGGGGCTAAATGATTGTAGGACCTGGTGGGACAGAAAACCTCAGACAACAAACCACATACACACACATTTGCCTCAATGAAACTGCATCTATAAATTGATGTCCTAATCTGAAAATACAAAATACAAAATCTTCTAAATACTATTCAGGATGTTTAACTGGTAAAGTCTACAAAAGGATTCTAAAAATCTAAAAGTTCTAAATACGGGAAATTGTTGGTTCCAAGCATTTCAGATAAGAGATACCTAAGATTCTAATGTATTTTTCAAAGATCCAGTGTAGAAGTAATAATCTACTGACATCGGGCTTTATGTTTATGGAAATGGAAGAACATTTAAAAACATAGAGTTAAATCTTGTGACAGTTCCCAGCATAAAACTTTTCAATGACGTCAACTAGGTGCATAACGAAAGTTTAATTCTGCCCTTTTGGCTATATCTGAGAACATGAAGATAGGCTCTTTGCTTATTTCTTTGAACTTCCAATTTCCTTCATCACATTCTTTTTCTTTTCTCTTGTTTTTTTTTGTTATGACCCAATTACTAGATTATCTCACTTGTCTATGGATTATTTAAGACCATTTATTTCTCATGTCATTTGCCTTTAGCCTTCATCCCTTCATCCCTCCACCCTGAGCTAATCCTCACTTATCTTCATGAAGCAAATTTCAAATATCCTACAGGTGTCAGACTTGCAGACTTCACCAGACTAATAAATTTTAACTATGATTATCTTGCTTACTCTATTTCTCCTTTGTTTTTTTCCTTCTTTCCTCTCCCTATAAATAGGTCTCACTACTGTTCTTCGTACCTCAGACTACAGAGTTCCATGTCCTATAGGACTGTTCACCTTCTTCATTAGAATCATCAGAGCACACAGCTCTTTTGTTTATGTGACAAGATGACATTTTATACAGCAGTGACACCCACATTCAAAAATTAATAGCACCAAGTCTTCAGCATTTGGAAAGAAAAGGTTTAAAAACTAAAATAGATGAAAAAACAGCCAACCAACCAAACAAAATAAGGTGAACTTAGAAGCGGGTACTATTCTTAACAGGGAAAGGGAGTACTCTCCAGCCCCATCAAAGGCATTTTGGAAAAAAATATTTATGATTTTGCCCAAAGTGAGCTAAGACTTTTCAGTTGATTTTGAAGCATCAGAAGACGGGAGGAGGTCTTGTGCCACACAGGGTCTACCATCAACCCAGGATAGAAGATGGCAAAGAACATTGGAAAGGTGAAAGACAGTGATCATCAAGATAAAGATTGGAAGAAAGCCTGGGTGGAAAAGTAGGAAGAGCTGCTGGTAACATTTAATGATGCAGAATATTGTTTAAAGATTTGTTTTCTTTTTATAATTGATCTGTACTTGAAGGAACCAACTTTACCAGAGTATAAAAGTATCAGAGTGATATGAAGTACTGGATGTGATTCTATATTCCCTGAATTCATCTCAAAGGTCCATTTGATATAGAAAATTTCGAAAATTTCCAGAGTGTGGCTACTAGCTCAGCAAACCAACATAGCTAACTCCTTGTTATAATGCTCTTGAATCACTAACATACAAAGAGGCCTAATAAGGAAAAAGAGTTGGTTACCTTTGCAAGAGGACAAGAGATCACCCCCTACCTCTTATCATATATTCTGGACTTCTACAATCCTGCTACAGGGATAAAGAATCCTAGGAGACACAGAGTTCTGGAAACTGCTAGATGACAGGGAGACTAAACTACTTTTGTCTACTCCCAGCACAGAAAAGACAAAATTTGCATCCAAATGTCCAAATTGGAATCAATAAATAGACTATTCTTGCCAGAAGCCAGAGGTGTGCACAGGGAAGGAAACTTATAGGATGGTACCAGCTCACAGTCTGTCATTCCAACACCCAGTGGAGAAACTTAGGGAAGTCACTCAAAGCCAAGCTATCACAGAAAGAATATGACTATTCATTGTGCAAAGGCAGCCAGGAAAGCAATTATGTCAAATCAAAGGGAAGAGACACACCATACCTAATGTCTTGTTTCCCCATTGCTCTTCCCTAGACAATCTCTTTCCAAAACATCAAAGAAAGGACGAGGGTATCCAGAAGAGGAAGGGAATACCATACACCTACACAGACTCCTAGACATTAGCATCATATGTTTACTCTGGTGGTGATAAGTGGATTATATTGCTATCAGATAGTGGTTTGGAGTTAATAGAGACAAAGGCCCTAAAGTGTTGGATGAAGATTATCCAACATCTTGAAAAGTTACAGGATCAGACTGACATACTTACCAAGCTATAGGAAAGTATAATAAAACATAGCAAGAGGAACCTAATAGGGAAATAATAATCTTTCATAGTCTAGTAAGTTGAAACATTTAACGATCCAGTTACATTCACTCATTTTCTTGTCTTTGTCTACCTCTTGCCTATTATAAGGTGACCTTCAAAAAGGAAGTCACTTAGTCATTACCTATTGTATCTTCAGCCCTTAATATCGAGCTTGGCACAAAACTGATAATCAATAAAACTTTAACAAGTAGAACACAAGACCTATGCAGATATGATTAAGTGTTCAAGATTTCAAATGAATAAAATGTTTTAAAGACATTATTCATTTGTTTAAAATAAATAATCCTTTATCTAAAATATGATTCTCCACATATGGTCTATAATGTATTTCCTATTTCCATGAACACCACTAGTGTCCTATATACTCTCCTGACCCTCTTTAAAGTTACTCTGCAGAAGTCTTCCTCAGTTTTTTTTCCTGCCATTGAGTTTTCTGCTATAAAAGCAGCATGGCCAGAATAGGAGGTAAAATGTAAATGCTGCATTAGTAACATGTAATGAGTAACCCTTAATCACTTGTAGAAGTTCTAAGTCCTGTTCCCTCATTCTTTGGTATGCTCCATTAAGAAGTGGCAAGTCAGTCCTTGGTGTGCACTCGATTTGTACACCTTCCTGATACTCCACCCCCATGCAGCATTTTCCAATGAGCCTTCTGCAACTTAACATGTCAAGTGTCCCCCTATTGAAGAATCCAAACAAAAAGTGCGAAAAGACTTTTAAGTGGTCAGTATATACAATATATTCAGTCTCCATAGATTATTGCAACAAAATTTCAAGAACAGAAGAGGATATTGGTTTTAGAATTTCAAACTTTCCCTGGACCTCATGCCTTCTCTAGCTCTTCTGCCTTACCTTCCTATTCATTCTATTTAATTTTTTAATTTTTAAAACAATCTTCTTTATTTCACATACCAATCACAGTTCCCTCTCCCTCCCTTCCTACTGCTCCCCCCATCTTCTCCCCACCCTACCCCCCTTCCACTTCGGAGAGGGTGAGACCTCCCTTGGGAAGTCAACAAAGTCTGTCCCATTACTTGAGGCAGGACCAAGGCCCTCCTCCCTGTATCTAGACTGAGCAAGGTATCTCTCCATAGGAAATGGGCTCCAAAGAGCCAGTTCATGCACTAGGGACAAATACTGGTTCCACTGCTAGTGGCCCCACAGACTGCCCAAGCCACACACCTATCACCCACATTCAGAAGGCCTGATTCAATCCTATGCAGGTTTCTCAGCTGTCAGTCTGGAGTCAGTGAGCTCCTACTAGCTTGGGTCAGCTGTCTCTGTGGGTATCCCATCATGGTTTTGACCCCTTTGCTTATATTATCTCTCCTCCCTCTCTACAATTGAACTCCAGAATCTAGGCCCAGTGCTTAGCTGTGGATCTCTGCATCTGCTTCCATCAGTTGCTGGATGAAGTTTTTATGGTGACAGTAAAGGCAGTCATCAATCTGATTACACAGGAAGGTCAGTTCCGGCACCCTCTCCACTATTGCTTAGGGTCTTAGCTAGGGTCATCCTTGTGAATTCCTGAGAATTTCCCTTGTACCAGGTTTCTCACTAACTCCGTAAAGGCTCCTATTTAAAATTTCAATAATTGCTAGTGACCTTGATAAAAAAAAAATTGTCTCGTATCTGCTATAACTCCTCCTGCAGTGCTCAGTTTTGATTTTTGCTTTACCAGTTTAACTATGCTGGTTAAATTTTTAAGACCTAAAAACACTATCCTACTCCAAAGCTATTATAACTATAATTGTATCTTCACTGTTTCTATCTGAGAGCTATCTGAAAGTTACATTAACTTTCTCAGAAAGGACTATTTAATGATTTTGATATCTTATAATTAGTGAGCCACAATGATTATCTAGAAGAATCTTTAAGAATTCATTCAGCAAATGGTCATGTGCTTAAATTCCCAAAATATATAGACTATATCCAGTAACTGATAACTCAGTATTTAAAAGCAACCTAGAAATATTTATACCTTTTAAATTATCTTTCTCTATTTTTGGTGAAAGAAAATATTTACTATTTGACTTTAATTAGATAAATCATCACTGGAATAGAATAAGCTTATCCCATAATTAACTCATGCATTCACTTTCCTTTCTCCTCTCATTTAAGAGCAATAAGGATTAGAGGACTGACCTGGACACACACACACACACACACACATATATATATATATATAAAACAATAATTTGTCAAGACCTGTGGTAAACTGCATTTTATACTTAGCAATCTATTGAGCATTTGTGTATTTCAGACATGTATTACTAATCTGTTATGTAGTATTGTGATCTTTCAAAAATTCATTTGGGCATTAACAT